CCTTTTTCTTTGTCTTCATCTTCACTAATTCCTATTAAACTGCTTTTCTTCATAACATGTTTTCTTTCTTTTTTCTTTCCTTGTTTCTTTGTTTCTTCTGTTTTTTTGGTTCTTCATTTTCTCTTGTTTGTTTTATATCTTTTTTTCTTCTTTTTTAATATTGTGTTTCTCTTGTTGTTCTGTTTTCTGGTTTCTACTTTTATTTTCTTCTGAAATGAGTTTAAGCTATTTACTTTCTTTCTTTTTGATTCTGTCTATTGCTGCATCTCTGCTATATTCACAATCAAAATCTACTTTTTATTCTTTCTTCTTTGGATTTATCTGGCAAAACATATGTTGGCATATTTGCTTTGAAGGATTTGTTCTTGTTGCATATTCTGTTTTCCGAAGACTATCAACTATATTCAATTGTATTTGCAGGAAATGAGATGCTGGTTTCTTCATCAAGTAGTTCTTTCTCTTGTTCTTCTATTTCTATATTTGTGTCTTAATAATGTGGTATAATAATGCTGAGACCTTTTATTTGTTCTTCTAATGATTCCAGCCCTTGCTTATCATTTGTTTATCTTTCTTCTTGATATATTGGTTCTTTGTTTATGTTCATATTATATTCAAAGAATTCTGGATTGAAGCTTATTGAATTAAGCTTTTCTGCCTACTTATCGATTATTTCTTCTTTGAGTCAGCCTGTTTTTGTTATTTTTAATGTTTCTAGTATTTGACTATATACTAACATATCATGGGACATAATATGTTTTAGGTCATATATTGCTAATTCTTTAGTAATATGCTTTATACTACTTGGATTCTGTGTAGGAGTTTTAAGAACTTGGTTCAAAATTCTACAGTCTACATGTCTTCGATTTCTATCTCCTATTTCTCTAATATAAGATATGATATCTGTATTGCAATTTTTATTTATTGGTTTGTATTCTAAATTTGGATCAGAATCTTTCTTTTTTGGTTAATCAGTATCTAGAATTAAGCTTTGTAATATTTGTTAGTATGTTGTTAATACTACATTACTAATTCTATTGTACTGCTTGCTGTTTCCTAATTTAGTACAAGGCTTGTTTGTTTGTTGTTGTCTGTTGTTGCTATAGTTATCATGTGTATTGTTTTCTGTTTTTTCAGGTTAATGCCAATTCTCCAAAAATTCAAATTTTTTTTGCCAAAAAAGTTGCTGTTTCATTTTAATAGCTTGATGCAAATTTCTTTATCTTCTAACCTCTACTATATTATATATATTTCTTCCTAATATAGCTTTTTTGTTAATCACCTAAAGGGTGTTTGCTAGTCAGTTTTCCTATTATTTTTGTATTTTGTTTTTTCTTGTTTTGGAATTGAGAATCAGCAGGAAGAGTTTCTTTCTTGAGAACTAATATATTTAAGTTATTATTTACTTAATAAAAAACTTTAATTTTTATCAATTATTTCTTTTATAATTCCAAATTACTTTTAAATTGTTATCACAAAACTGTGACTTCTTTTTTAACTTTATTTTAATATTCAACTATACATATACAGTATTTCAAAAAAATTTTTTATAAAATTTAATATATTAACTATATTATTTTTCTATAGTTTAACTTTTTGAAAAGTTTGATTCAGATAATTATTAAAAAAAGTTTATAATTTTAATATAAAAATTAAATTTATAATATAGATTAAAACCAATTTTAATAATTTAAGTTTATTTTATAAATTTTGTAATATTTTGAATTTATTAAAATTTAATTAAATAAATTTCTAAAATATCTCAGAATTCATGGTATAAACCCAAAATATTAAAACCAGTTCCAACCTCTAATTTATGATTTTATTGATTCTTTAATTATATAAAATTTTAGATAAGACTATGCAAAATTAATTAATTTTCATAACCTAAATAAGCCAAAATTTGAAAATTTGTAAAAAAAGTTTTTATGTTTTAATAACCAAATAGGTTTTAATAAAATTTCATATACAAATTTTAAAAAAAGCTGACCGACCAGAACTTTTAAAGGTTTCATGTTATGAAAATCAATATAATAAATTTGTGTAATCTAATTGTTAAGTTATTTTAATTTAAAAATTAAAAAATGATCTATTGACTTTCCCTCATATGTATTTATGATTTTATATAATGCGATTATATAGAAGTAATTCCTTACCGGTAATTAAATAAAAAAATCTACTTGTGGATTACATGAATTTAGTTGTACTGTAAATATGAGTTCGTGAGAGTGAAAACCTGGAAACCGATCATAATAAATCATTAAATCGGTTTTCACTCTCACGCACTCATATGAGTATATCTATATGAAATTTGTTTGCAGAATCGTATATGCATTTCAGATTTTAGTTGCGTAACTTATAAACTGTTTCGGTCTGCAAACTTTGCATCCAATTTCAGACACTGTTATTCACACAGTACAGTAGGTACTATTCAATTTTTAAAAAAATGATGTTCTTGAATAAGACACCCGGATTCTGTATACGGTAATCATTACCTCTGTAAATACAGCATAATGGGTAGTGAAGATGTAATGCCATCGCATTAAGTTTAATAAGCCAAAACAGTATAACGATAAAAATAGCATTAGATATTCGGATTTAGCATGAGCCACAGAATCCCTACAATACCAAAATAATCATATTACCTAGGTTCTAAAAAGAATTCTAATCGTTGCAACAAAATCTGCCATAGTGATTTATCCCATTAATTCATGTAATTAAAAGCAGTGAACAGTAAAAGAATACGGAACCTTAGTGTAGTAAAGTTTTTAGCTCTCTAACCAAATCTCCACACTGTCTTTCAAATTATCTTCGTTATACATTGTGTCTTTAGTTATGTGAATACACAACCCCGAATCTTCTCCCTAAAATACATACACACGTACATAAATTAAATGAGTGCTGCAAAGCAAAAAAACTGGAATTGTTGATTTTCGAAATTTCATTTACAGAAACGAACTTTAATAAGCTCGTTTCCATAGAGTGAAATTTCAGAAAATTCGAATTCTGATTTTTCTCTTTGTGTGACACTCAAGTATATATTTAAATTACATAAGGATGTTACGTAGTCTGGTCTAAACTGATAAACCACAGTTAGTCAAGACCAGTTCAGAACTCAGTTTTAGGACCAGACCAGTCTAACCAATTAAGCCTTAAAACTACAGACGTAAAAAACCAGACAAGGACTGAGCCGGACTGAACTAGATAATATCCCTATCTTCAAGTTATACTGATTATATTTTTAATAAAATTGGATAAGAAATAATTCAAAGCTTCAAAGCTTCGGTTGCTTTATAATCAAATTATTAATATTTTGTGTCACATTTCTGATTACTAATTTCTGATTTGCTAGATGGTTTGTTTAATAATTGATTGATTATCAGATCCATAACAAAGAAACTGCGCAACATAAAAATGTCTCGAAAAAGTATAAATACCCGGCGAAAATTTAGTCCACTTCAATTTCCCAACAAAGTTTATAAAATAAAATAATTGAATTCGTTAAAAATGAGTGCTCAAATTGTCGTGAGAAAGTCAAAAGATAGAGGTTCGTGCATGTTAATTTTTCAATATTTTGTATGCCAGCCTCCATATTGTCACATTCAATATAGTCACTTTATAGTCTTTTTATAATCACACCTATATTTGAGTCAAACTTGAAACAAATTAATGTGTTCAATTGTGATTATATAGGAGAGGATGACTGCAAATAATTTTTTAAAAAATATTTACAGACTAATTCGCTTTTACTAACTATATTGGATTTTAAAGGACATGCGAATCATGGTTGGCTCGATACCCATCATACATTCTCGTTCGCATCCTATTTTGATTATAAATTTCAAGCTTTTGGATCCCTAAGAGTGATCAACGAAGACATAGTGCAACCTACCACCGGATTTGGAACTCATCCGCATCAAGAATTCGAAATTTTCTCGTATATTATTTCTGGTGAATTGCAACATAAGGATTGTACGTAAATAATCATGTGAAAAACATGTGTGAAAAAAAGAGCACTTATATTCAATTCTAACCTGTCTTTTTACTATTTTGTTCAATAGCGATGGGTAACGTTGAAATTCTCAAAGCTGGTGACGTCCAATTCACATCAGCCGGTACAGGAATTACACATTCCGAATACAATATTCACCCAACCCTTCCTGTTCATTTTCTTCAAATTTGGGTGAAACCTGATAATCCAAAACTTAAGCCAAGATATCAGACCATGAACTTCCCCAAAACTTCTAAGACGAATAACCTCGTACATATCATCTCTCCAGTTGATGATCAAGATAACTCTACTATTGGCATTAATGCAGATTTTCATATGTATGCCAGTTTATTAGAATCAGGTCATAAGGTTATGCATACAGTACAAGGAGCTGAAAAACCTAGAAGAGTTTATATTCATCTTACGAGTACTGGAGGAGAATTGAAAATTAATGAAAACACAACATTGCGACAAGGTGATGGTGCATTTGTTACTGAAGTTAAACAAGGAGATGAGATCTTATTTGAGTCTATTGGTGATAAAATTGCTGAATTTGTGGTTTTTGATCTAGCTTAATACTCTATTATTTATAACAAGTAATTTTACACTGTCTGAATAAAATTACTTGGTTCATTTATCCATTAATTTAGCTATCTTACCGTATTTTGTAATTGTATTATAATATAAATAACATTATTTAAATTACATATCTAACTATTGTGGTAGCTTAAAATGGGATTTGCCTATGCCGGGATTTTAAACTATTTTAATATAAATTCTTATCTTTTTGGGGGCAGTATAATTAATAAAAAGGTATACCATTAGTGAGTTGAAACTTAGATTTGCTAAATAGCAATATTAATTAAGTACTTATATTTGATGTTGTTAGAATATTTGAAATCTTAAATACTTGATTGATATTAAATTTTAAATTTATAAATATTATTTTTAAGTACTTTAAATAAGTATTTGTAATTGCATCCCAACCTATTTAAAATTTTATAATTAATGGTTAAATTACTAGACACTTTGTCATTTAGTTATTTATTTATTTAATTTACTTTTTTATTTGTTTATTTTTATATATTATTAGTTATTTATCTACTTATTTAATAATATTATATTTCTTGGTCTAATTCGACTTCACCACCTTCACAAACAGCCCTTAAACAATTTAATATACCTTCAGCAAACAAATCAATACTTTTTTCATCAACACTACCAATCCGATATACTATACATAAATTCATTTTCTGACCTTGAAAAATAGAATTTACGATGAGTGCAGGCCCAACCAAATACATAGATTGTGAAAATATCATGTCTATAACTTTCCAACCATTTGAATCATTTGAATCTGGATCATCCAAATTTATATTTACTAAACTATCATTACTATCAATGTCAGGAGAAGAAGGTGTGAAGTTAATAGAAGGAGCGGTAGAACTAGAAGATTCAACACTATCATCAGGGGGATAAAGAGAAGAATTAAATTGATCTAAATTTGAATATAATATAGAACAAATTTTACCATCACTGACAAGTTTCTTTTGACAACTCATCAATTGTTTTAAAATTTTATCTCTTGAAAATACATCCCATAATCCCATTCTATTATTAAATTTTGAAACATCTGAATCAAGTTGGTATTTATATTTGTGACAAAGATTCCAAAAGTAAAGGTTGTCTGTTTTATTCATTTTAAGAGGAATATTTGATATTGGTGATGACGGTGGAAACGGAAAGAACGAAGTTGAAGGTTTTGGAAATGTTACTTTAAATATAGATTCTGCCATGTAGTTACCCATATCAGTCCATGGCATTTGTAGATTTGTATATGAACCAAGGAAAATAGGTGTTAATGTTTTTATGGAATTACCGTATGATGGAATAAAAGATTCATCGTTGGTAGTAGTAGTGGTAGTAGATGATGAAAGAAGATGATGATATGAGGAAAATAGAATAGCTGTATGTATAACGGCATCGATTGTGGTGGAACGTTTTTTTGCTCTCATTTTTAATTTTCTAACTTCTTCTTTAGTTAACGAAACCAACTTAACCTTGTTATGAAAGTGAATCGTGTTCCTAGAATTCACATCAACTATCTTATAATGATATTCTCGAAACAAAAAGCTTTTTAAAAATTCACTAATTCCCTTCTTTATAAAATTACATAAAGTTGGTCTTACGTCAATTGTATGTTCTATCAGACTACAGCTTTGAAGAGATCTTTGAATTGGAAGTATAGCATGAGTGTAAGAATCCGGAATTTTTTTTAAACTTGTTGATGTATTTTTTTTGTATCTTGTAAAGATTTCATTTAGTGTTTCAACGAATATACTATTTATTGATAAAGAACTTATTTCGTCAACAATAGTGTGATGCCAACAGAATAAGATGCAAAAATCATATTCCGGTCTTTCAGTTGATTTTTGAAAATTGGTGATGCCGACCACAATTCTCCAAAGTGGTTTCGTCTCATCGTCTATGCTGAATTTTAAATCGTGTTGCCTTTCTATAAGTTTTTCCAAATCACTTCCAGAAGAGATAGGAACAAACTTGATGAGACTTGTTAAATATATTTCATCAAGTTGTAAGAATAATGGATTAGATGATTTCGCATCTCTAATGGAAACAGATAATGATGGGAGCTTTGCGAGAAGAGTTTGAAGAGTAGGATATAGAATTTGTAAAATCAATCTTTTTGATTCAGTGTTCAAGTTTTTTATATTAGGGTATAAAGAGGGTTTTGTAGATTCGGAAGTATGAATGTTTCTAAGTGAGTTCATTTTGTAGAATTCGTCCCATCTAAATTTTATTACGAATGCGAGATTATGGTTATGTAGAACATTTTGGCGCATGATATAAAGTCGTTCGATTACACTTAAAGGACGGATTACTGCTGGCATTTGTTTTTTCTTACTGAAATTAGGTTAACTACTGCTAGAAAGAAATAAAATTAATTCGTGGGACTTTTTATTCTAAATATTTAATTGATAAATTCGAATCACACTAAAAATGGAGAAAGTAATAATTATCTGTTGTACACATCTCGATTGTGATTTCTTTATAAATATGTATCCGTGAGAAGCGTCTGCGAGCCTCCTATGTACGCACGTACGTAGCTCAAATGACCTCTCTATTTCATTATTTCAGTCACGGAAGTTGGCAAAAATTATAAAATGTATAAGAATGTAAATTATGTAGCACGGCGATTTATGTATCATAAACCTTGCATATAATATATATGTAACACAAACGGTTAGCCGAAAATGTTAACTTGTGGAGTTTCAGTCAGTTTTCCATTTTAAATGAAGCGGATTTTGTAGTTCTTCGTGTAACAATAAGAAGTTTCGTTTTTTCCGTTTCAAGTCTTCGAACACATTGGTTACACTTTTGAAAATTATATTAAAAAATTCCCGAATAGTTTATTTATATTTACCATTTTTAGAATTGAAAAATATATTACTAATGACACTCAACACTAATAAGGTTTTTTTCTGACCTGCAGTACGTGCTAATAAAAATTTGTTTAAAAAAAACATTTGTTTAAAAATTTACGCACATTTGATTCTCTGTGCATATGTTCTTGAAGTTCAACTCTTAATAAGATTCTAAGTGCAAGGCTATTTTCCCGGCCTCATGTACATAAAGCTGATTTTTACGTATGGTCCCGGAGAGTTGCACTTAGAGAGTTGTCCATATAAAACATAGGTACTGCACTTACCATAAAAAAAAAAAAAAAATCTCTTAAGTACAAATAATAAGCCATTTATAAAATTGGAAATTTTGTAATATCACATCTTGACCAAATTCTGAAATTTTTAATTTACTCATGTGCCCACGTGATAATCAATGAAATACGGAGTGATTCTAACGCTAAATCATCACGCATTATAACACGTTCCAACACTGTTGTCACGGGACAGGTTTGACATGAGTTTTGACATTTTTGAACATTTTGACAAAGCTGCTTATGCAGAATGGCTGGGCAAATTGTAATGTAGGTGGGATGATTATTAATCATCATGTCCACGTGACCATTATCGGACCTGCCCATCTATACTGCAGTACAACCAAGAAGGTTCAGAACTAAAGAAAGTATATTTTTTTTATACAAATTTGTTAATAATTAAAGTTTGGACATGCTTTGTACAATCTTGGACGTTTGGACGGGACATGCCAAAAAGGCTTTGAACAACACTAACTATACCTATTTCAAATATTATACACAGCTACATAATGCTAAGTTGTATGAAAAATAAATAATACGTATGAATACAACGTTTGCCAAACGAGATACGTACACCATAGCTTGCATCACCAAAAAATTTCAACCTACAAAAAATGGGAAATAGGTTGTAGAGTTTAGAACCGGTTTTAATTGGGTTTAACATATGTAATATAAACCGGCTCCAAACTCTAATTGGTCGAATTCGCCAAGGATAAATAAAATTATTATTAAATAAGCACACCTTTTAAGCCACATATTTTAAGGAAGGCAGCATAAATGGTTGGGTTTCTTGAGTATCCATATGTATGCTCTCAAACTCTGGGAAATTTATAATGCGCATTGGCTTAAAATTTTTTCGTGTAGGTGTATCATTGAATATTTCTCCATTTAAATTACTGCATTCAACATCGATAGGATACATGGTGAACGCAGGCGTAGGAAGCTGTTCCACATTAGAACTCAAATGGAGTAACCTTTGTTCGTCGATGACGACATTGTCTATGCATGTTGCAAAGATATTTTGAGACATGAAAGATAGTTGTGGTGGGTGTATTGGTGAAATTCGCCCGTTTGAGTCTGCACTTTTATTAATAAATAAGGAACCAAATAAAAACTTCTCTTCGCAAAGCTCAGAAGCCAACTCGAAATTGTTGGTACTTAATCGAATCAATTCTGCGCACTGCTCATAATCCATTCTGACCTTAAGAGATTCATTTTTATATGCTTTACGAGCTTCTTTAGGACTAAGCCTATGTTTATTTTTATAAAGAATAAAACTACAGGGTGTTTTTGTTTTGCCCTTAGACTTTTTCATTAAGTTCTGAATATCTTCTTTACTCAAACGCATGTCAATTCCACAGAATTAGGGATTAGAAAAGAGACGTCAAACCGTTCTATAAATATGATTTACTTACGTATTCAATATTATATCTACATACAGGCATTATTACCACTTTTATGTATTATATCATTTTCATACATGCAGCAAAAGTATACTTTGACTCAGGATATTGCAAATAGAATCAATTCTTCTAATTGTCTTTGTTTTAAATAAAGTATTATTCGTATATTGATTGTTTTAAGTGACGGAATTTTATATGTGCTTCTCCGGACGTAAATGATCATATTAATTTCGTCATTTAATGAGAACGTGAGTGTCGTTAAAAGAAACCTGACATTCTTATTAAGATAAAATTACAGGCTTCTTCCTTGGCATTACTTAGTTAGGGTTCAATCCTGTGCTTTAGTACTATAAAAATCTTTTCGAAACAAACAAAAGAAAACTCCAAACTTTAATTTCTGTTTCTTTCTTGTAACATTTCGTAGCTTGCTATGTAAACAATGTCACCTTATGGATTCGATTCTGGCAATCCGACTGATTCAATTGTGGCTATCTATTTTAATCTAATATATCCTAAGAATCCTTTACTAGCATTTGCGCGAAATAACGTTATTTTGAAACATAAAGATAGGTAATAGTTAATTTAGTCGGGAATTTTTAAAAATAAAATTATGGATCAAATTATCAATAGAATTTAATCTTTGAATAACTGTATAGATATACACAATTTACAAGAAAAATTTTTCGATTTTATTTTTTAGAAAATTCTTTTCGGAACATGCATACCTGTATTCTCTTGTTATCTGGCATAATATTCCGCAGATTTTTATATTAAAATAAAGTAAAAAACTGCGGATAAATATATATATTTTTTAAAAATAATATAGAACTATTGGACGCGAAGCAGCCAATAACGGGAATTATTCCATTATATGGCTGCGTAGCTTTCAACAACGACGACCGAACCAACAGAATGACGCGAGTTATTTTGATGATGATTCGTCATCAGATAACAATTATTGATAATAATATTCACATCTTGATAAACGATAACGAAGTTATACGTAATTCGGTTCCATCCATTGAACCGAGTTTCAAACGGTTTATTAAAGTTACAAGTTGGATCCAAAAGATGTAATTCGTAAGACAATATTTAAATAAGTATGTACGTACTTTTATTTTATTGAAAAATGGATATAGACTATTCATTGTTTTACCTACAGTATATACATTATAGTGTGTAATTATGGCATTTACTATGTCTATATTGAGTCCAAGCATTTTTCGTTTTTGCTAAAATTTCAACAGTTTTGGGTAGGATCTTGGGCGTGTGATTCATAAGTTGTCACTATCAGTTTTCGTGTCGTGGTCGAAATCATGATGAAATTTAAGATTTCTGTGATGAATGAACATTTTGAAAACATTATTAATTAGGGTGATATGTGAGAATTCTTTTGATTTTGGGGAATTAACATTTATGTACATGCGCAGGTATCATTGAAGACATATCGTGTTTTCCTCAAAAGACATTGTCCTCCGATGACACTATACCCACCGTTAGAAAGTTAACCTGTCAGACTTCCCACTCTGATAATAAATAGAGATAAATACATGACAAATGACAAATAAAATAACAGGATACAATGAACTGACTAAGTGTATATGCACAAAAACTATTGAATAACTAAATAAAAGAACAAAAGATCATAAAAATTTTAAGAAAACCAATAATGGTCTGAATCCTTTAGGTTACAGTACTAATTATCGGTATTGACATCATTCATGTGATCAAAACCTTTTGGCTTATCCGAAGCTTATGACACAAGCCATAATGGTTTCAAAACAGGCCGAAATAATTTCGACCACATGTATAATTGACATGAACCAAAAATCGATTGATCGAAACTTGCCAGATTTCTTAAAATTACTACTATGTGAAAATTTCACATCCAGATATCAGAGTAGCTTTAAGAAACCAGAAATCACCTAGCAATCGAGCAATTTCTTAGTGATTTCTTTTTTTTTGTTCTACAAATTTCACAAAATTATGCAAACCGCAATAAAACTTTCGAACTAATCGTTGAATGATTATCTGTCATGAAAAAATTTTCATCCAATTAAATTTAGAAACAACTATTTAAACAACTCTGCAGTTAGTCAATAATATTTTGATTCAGGGTTTAGGGCAGTTAGCCAATAATATTTGGATTCAGGGTTTAAGTTATGCATATTAATCCAATAAGCAACTGTCATTAATAACAGCTGTCGTAAGTGGGATTTAAGTGGATTTGGAATTTCCTAGTTAAATTGGGGTTAGGGTTAGGGTGTTTGTATGACAAAATGAACCCCAAAATGCGGGTTTTATATAAAAATTCCAAATCCACTTAAATTCAGTTTCACTTACAACAAAGCCGTATCATGCAGATTTTTTTACGGTCTTTTTTAGAAAAGCAAGGTTTACTTGAATAATAGAAGCACATATCTTTGTCAACCTTTTCTGTCGAATTAAATAAAGATATAGCATATTTTTATTTCATAATTGCTTAATTCTTTACTGTTGTTGTAATATAAAACCAAAAATATATGTATGACTCAGCATATGATTACATCTCAAGTTTATTTGGATCATAGATTAAAAAAAGAAATCACTTGATTATTACGTAGATGATTTCTGATTTCCTTATATAATTCCATACTAGACACCCGATTTGTCACGCAGATCATGTGTGTAAAATTTGTAATATAAGATCAAAATGATTGACGCACCAAATTTTTTAATTTGTGGTAAGATTTTGCAAATCTCTAGCATTTGAAGGTTCTTATTATTGAATTTTAAGGGTAAGTGAAAACAAAATGGAAAAGTGTGACTCTAAAGTTAGTCTGATTTTTGCCTTTATTTATAACAATAAGTGATATACATCACTTATCCAAATAGGCGAAAAGGAACATCAATTAAACTGACGGTCGTCTAAAGCTATGTACTCACGTGACTTTTTTATATAAATCAACCAATCGGAATTATGAAATTTTCTTTATACAGATCAGGTTTAAGTTGGTAAAAAATAAAGAAATCACAAAAAGATGAAAAACGATATTCTAAACCTGTTTTAGGGCATTAATTAAAAATGTCAAAAAGGTAATTTTACTTATATATTTTTAATAAAACATCAAAAATTACATAGGTATTGGCAATGTTGTTATAAAACACAAACTCAAACAGCAGCCAGTTCAGAATGAAACATCTTGAATGTCTATTAATATTTTTTATTTTGGATAATTAAAATTAAGATGTGGCGACTTAGTGAAGTGGTTAAGTTGTTGCATCTGAGATGGCCAGGTTTAGAGTTCGAATCCTACTGGTGAC